GAGTAGTACATTACAAATATACATGTATCGCGATATTTCAAATATCGTAGCGACTGAAACATGAGGCGGCCTGGCGCAGCACATTCAGTTGCCTGAGAACATCATAAACGAGAGATTCAGCTGGGTTCCAGGTGAGTTTCTCGAAAGAACCAAATTAGTTTGCAGATGAGTGTATATGTACTAATAGAAGTTTTCAGCATGGTTGCGATACGTATAAAAATAAATACAATGCGAAAATGGGAGCAAGTCAAAAGGGAATTTATCGTACGTGAGAGCTCCTTGGTGAAAGTGCGGACGGTGGGAACGTGTTTTCTCCGCTGTTTCGCTGTTACACGTGTTCCATGATTGTCCGTGGACTTGGAGTGCTTGGGCTGACACCCTGGTCCCTACGCGCGCGCGAGCCTGTGTCCCGACTGGGTTCGGTTTCCCTTTATGTAGGTCCCAGTGCGTATACGTGGGCGCGTCGGCACATGAGTGGTTGCTACGCTGACCAGGGGATGCAGACAATCGATGTCCGATGAGTCAGCTTAATGCGACGTGTTTGTGCGTATGAGAAGAAAGACAAGCCTCGCGATCCAGTGAGCGCCTGTGAGTTGAACTGTCAAGTATGTGGGTGACTGGGTCGCTACACATTAAGGGGATGTTACTAACTTTCCACTTGTTAGACTAGGCCTATTAAAAATGTGACCTAGATTCCTAACGGTCCGCCAAAAGTACAGAGTTTTCAGCTGAAGTCAGGGTGGAGAGACGTTTCGGTGAGACCCCTTGGTTTTGGCTTAGAATGGAGGATATTCTATCCTCTTCCCGGTTTGACTCATAAGCGTCATATGTTGGCATCTGCTGTTTGCTAATTGCTCCAAGTCACTTATTCCCAGTTGTCCATCCAGAGTGACGTCATATGAAAATTCCTGTCACTAGAATAGCACTGCACACCGCACTGTGCGTGTATCACTCATTCATTTGGGTTTTATGGACGAATTTAGGATGGGAAAAACCTTGGCGATTTCATAACCTCCAAACCCCTTGGGTAGAATGTACCCGCAAATTAATCACCGATGAATACTTCTAGAAATTTGCCATGTACATCCTGACGTCTAAACTGTCCTCAAACCCAGCAACTACGAGATGAATAAGGTGTTGAATTTCACCTGGCTCATGAGTGGACACAAATCGGGATCGAACTATTTTAACGCTCACCATCACACTTGATTGTAAGGTGCGTGAGCCACATAAAGTGTCCACGAATTCAGTTCAGCCTTGGTGGTATGCGGAATCCGAGCTCTTCCTGTCTGCTTCACAAGTCAGCTAGGTACTCCGACGAGCGAACTCAGGTGCGGCCCTCAGGAATACCCCAATTCCAGATCAGTATATCATTCTCTGAAACGATGACTACCCAATCGGCCGAAAACACTTTCCAATGGATTGAATCGCACACAGTGTTTCTCAAGTCGTTTTCAGCTAATGACTCATTTGCCACTGAGGTTTTGAATACTCGTGACCTTTCACCCGATGGCTTTCTCCCCCGGTTGCATGCATTCTTGTCAGCTTCAGTGCTCTAAAGTTAGTCTGCCAAAGCTAGCGGAGTGTTTGATCACGCATCTTTGGGATTTCCGGCACTGATACAGATGTGCATTTACA